GCACACAACAGTTCCCAGAATAGATAAATGAGTAGCACATAACATTAATATGCATTGACATTTTAAAAATAGTGGCAAAATCGCCCTTGTCTCACACTACTACACCATTCATTTGTGCACCTTCTGACACATCTACATACGACGGTAAAAATAATTTAAATTCCTATGGTGATTAACGATTACACAATCAAAGTTGCTCCCATTTACAAATATAGGCCTAAATCGTAAATCTACAAATACAATTACAAAATTATATAATTCAATTACAAATATAGTTTGCTTTTTTAAAATACAAAACCCCAATCAATGGCGGATCTGGGTGAGGGAGGGGGGTGGTGAATAGAGTGGCTATCCACCCCCCTTTGTTTACCGTAAACAAAAAATAATGGTCACTCGTCTTGTGTGTGTGATTCTCGTGCACTCTAGTAAAACATGTACTTTCTTTTTTAAGCATTTAAATTTGTTGCTTGAAGTTTTCTCAGGGCTTTGCCGATTTAATCACCAAATTGGGGGACTTCGTCTTCGTATCGCATCGTTAAAAGCTATATTAACTATTAGCACATTACAGTGGCGGATCTAGGGTTCAGGGGGGAGGGGTTCGGGGGGTTCGGACGAACCTCACTCTGTGAAGAAACGTAACAAAATACTATGGGTTCTGGCTAACAAAATTCATGCTAACTCGACGCGGATCCAGACCTTCGCCCACTGCGCCCAGGCGAAGGTCAGGGTGAGAATTCAAAATAAAATGTTGACCATTTTTTCCAACAATCATACTTACTTTCCTTGACACTTATTTTGAACATTACCATTAGGAAAATGTTTAAATCCACACTATCCTATACATTACACTTTTAAACTGATTGTACTGTGTAGGCCCTACCAGAGAGAGAGAGAGAGAGAGAGAGAGAGAGGGGTATATTTCCAATACATTATGGTCTTCCACTTCTATAGCGCATGATACAGTGCATAGCAAACGTTATGTAACCACTAATAATACTTAGGTCCAGTGGCGTAGGTATGGACAGTGCAGTCAGTGCACAGCACTGGGGCCCGGGGCTATTGGGGGCTCGTTCAATAGGTCTAATGATCTAAAAATATAACTTTAAAAAAATCATATTTAAACTTTAAAAGGACCCTTAATAATTAATAGGTTTTAGATGCTATATATTATTGATTATATTCATTACAATTTACCTATTACCTATTTCCCAAACAAAACAAGCCCTTATATTAATATTAAACAAGATATTTATAGTTTATTACTGTGTCCCACTATAGCCAATTTAAGGCACATAGGAAAAATTATTAGATCACTATTTTTTTTTAATCAGAACAACTGCTTCTTTTAATAGATGAGGGAGGGACATTTTTATTTGGCAAGAATATTGTAAATATTGTATAAAAACAGGTTTAATTTTTATTGTTTTTTTAAAGAAAACGTATTTCCAATCACAAAATTACATTGTTTTTTATGCTGTTGAAAAAAATGATGCGGCCAAGAAAAAGAAACATTTTAAAAAATTTCCGCATCAATATTTCCCAATTTTGTTGACGCGGGCTGGAGGGATGATCTAATAATTGTTTTGTATAGGCATAATTATGATCTGTTCATTGTGCGTTCGATTTTGATAATGATAGAAATGATAGGAACACTGTATGATCAATGTGCGCCAAAATAAATAGATGATTAACATAAAAAGTATGATGCCGTTTATTTGTACAATACTGCTATTGTTTCTAAAATTTGTGGAGGATTGTAGTTCATGTGGTTATCATTGGAAAGTTATTGATCTATTAGTAAATTCTATAATCTGGTTGTTGTACGCATATAGACATATTTTTTACATTTTTCATTTTATTTCTTTATTCATGTTCTTTGCAATTCATGAAAAAGTAAACTCAACCATACATATTAAAAAACAGAGCGACGAAAAGGACCTCCACGAAACTCTTAGGAGCTTTTAAAATGGAGACCCGGTGTTAAAATTAAAGTTTGTTTAGACATAAAGACAGTATATAACTGCCTAACTAAAAAGATACACCCCTCTCACCCCAACAGTCATATTTATTTGATTTACATTTATTTTGAACATTGCTATTAGGACATTGTTTAAATCCACACTAGCCTATATTTTACACTGATTGTACTGTCGGCAATACCAGAGACGTTCATTCCCATTACATTATGGTCTTCCATTTCTATAGCGCACAATACAGTGCATGACAAACGTCACATAACCACTACTAATTCCACCTTAATTCGGAGTCACTCAGCTCAGTCTTACATGTGTAATTGTTCGTATTGACATTGTGTTTTTAGCATTGTTTTAAAGTAATAACCTATCAGACATTTACATGAACAACGAACGAATGGAAATATATTTGTCTTAACTATTGTTTTCAGCAAAGTGGCGTATCCATATTTTAAAGAAGGGGGTGCTGATGTAATGAGAGTCCACATCACGTCAGTACCATCATGGTTGGCG